GAACAAATCTTTGAATTTGGTCTCTTTCCTTCAAGAGAATTCGTCTGATTACTCTACAAATAGTCAATCCTTCCAACTCGAAGTAATTTTTTCAGTAATTTGATAATTCCCATTTTATCATTAAGAACACAGTATTCAGCGAAGAGACTACTCTCCTCAACAACGAATTTATTATCAAGCTGTACAATCATACATATATGGTTCCTTTAGAAATCATATCAGATGAGGGAATTGAATCGAAGGTGTGAATACATGAAATAATAATAATAGTAGTATGAAATGCAATTAAAATATTTATGATTATAATCATAGTTAAATGTAAAGTGGCAAAACAATTCATGTCATATTTAGAATAATTCACAACATGTGTAGATGTTGGAAAGAGGTGTTTAATTATAGGGTTAGTAGGCCAATATAATATGTAATATATATAATACGGTGTGAAATTTGATAAGACAGGATTCAACATTGAGAAAACATTTTTGTATTTAAAATGACAATTAGGACAAGTGGAAACAATTGAAAGTGAGAATAATAATCGTGCCAGTGAGGGGAAGGTAAATAGAATATCTAAATAAACATAATGAATAAATAAATGCCTATTTCTCTACGGCCAAGGCATAAATAGGGATTGTACACACTTCTTTTGTACACAAAGATCTGGCTTAAATTCGTGAATTGCCAAGGCCTCCGCTATCTTTAGAAGTCTATAATGAAGGAAACGCGGCAAGTTAGCATGGATTCGATACATGATATTAAAGTCACGGTCAGGGTTGGCAGAGTGACAGGATTCGATCACGTGTTCTGGAATAGAGTTTCTCCCTTGTAAAACCATGCTGGAATATGATGTCGCACCTATGTGGAAAGCGCTCTTTGGTTACGGCCAGGTGAATCGATAGACACACATGGAGGCGGCCCGATGAGGAAGCCGAGATGGAGAACGACCTGCGTCTGGTGTACGTCATTTATAATTTCGCTGCAAGAAACGTCTTACTGACTGATTTAGAGGGACTGTTTTTGAGAATATCTGAAGCTTGATCACCTTTGAATTCCAAGTTCATGAATAAGGTTTACCTTAGAACTGAGTCAGTGACCAGTTTAGACTGCTTGGCTTACGTGTTTATGTTAATAAATCGGTTCTAGTATTTGTTTTCTGCGAGGGTGGTTTTAAGAAGTGAAGTTCTGAGTCAACGCAATCAGAACTACAAATGTGTCTTATCTTAAAGCAAAGTGAAAGAATTAGGTCCCAGATAGGCACCCAACTATAAACATTAGTCAGTTGTCCATTCTACGTACGTCTCCGGTGAATGGATCTTGAGATATCCGCCATTGCGCCTACTGAAGTAGGCATCAAGAAAGGGAATACTAAGTTCAGATTCCCTTTCTGTGGTGAGTTGTAAAGAAGGATGGCAGTTGTTGAAAGCAAACAAGAAATCATCAAGAATTACGTTCTTATGGCAGGTAACGAAAGTGTTGTGTACGTATCTTTTATAAATGTCAAAATGATTGATGGTTTGACTAAGTTGAAAGTTTTCAAGCAAAGGACCCAGTGGTGATCCCATCGCAATGCCATCTCTCTGTCTAAAATTCTCATTATTGAAGGTGAACTGAACATTCAGCGTGCATCTCAATAAAATTTCTTTCAGGTGGATTGTCGGAAACCCTATTTCTATACTATGTGCATAAATATAATCACATATATAGCAAACAGATTCCATGAGACGTACATTGGTAAACAGCGAAGTCACATCTAATGAGAATATGACTTTGTCTGAGACATTAAAATCTTTAATATTCTCAATAAATTTAAACGTATCATCAATAGAAAACTTAGGCAAGTTACTTCTGACTGGTTTCAGTATTTCCGCTAGGCATTGAGCAATTCCATGGTAAGGAGAACCCACCATATTGAGGATAGGACGGAGGTGTAATCCTGTCTTGTGAACTTTTGGTAGCGCATTCAAAAGTGGTATTATGGAGCCAACTGATCGGATGCATTCACATAGATCTGATGACATTATGGATTTATTCCTAATGTTCTTTAAAAAGTCAGTCAGTTGATTTTCAACTAGATGTGTCTTGTTTGTTTTACCATCGGGTTTGGTCAGAAAGGATCACTGAGAGATTTTATCATTATTGTCTAACAATGCACATTATCTGGAACCTGTGTCACTTATAATTCCTATCAATTACTCCTTGTCATCACTTAGACAACATGCCCAAATCATCTATGTAATTTATATTTGTGTGTTGTTCAGGTGACAGCCAACAGAAAGAACAATCCCGTAAAAAAATAAGAAAAACACGAGCACATATTATCTTGATACATTTCATTTTTATTTTCACTTTTGATTACAGCTTGATTCCACATCGTACTTTTGGTACAAGTATGCAATTTTCAGCATGCGATATCCGTAGCCCAAATTGTGCAGGCCAGCCATTGCTTTCAGGTGTGCGTCGGCAAGCGATTGAACCTTGGACCATGTGCACGGTCGGCGAGAGTCCTAACCACTGTACTACTGTCGTACTTTATTTGTTGAAGTCTCCTAATGGGAAGAAGAAGAACCGTGTAAACTTTTGAAATAGTGTTCACTATCCTGAAAAGTATGTGTCATATCAGAGTGAATAATGTTTTACTGAAATCTTATATGATTTTATTATGGAGGCGAAATACGAAGCATAGTTCATCTGAAATGTCTTACTTTCAACGACAATACTCTAAATATGATGATTGCGCAATCACCACACTCCAGTTTGTTTACAAACATAACAAAGAACAACAAGATGGGCTTTCTTTGAATATATATACTACACAAACAACTACAACAACAGCAGCAATAAATTAAGCCTGACGTAGCAGGGAATTGACGTAATGTTACGTAATATACTAGACAGAATAAGGAAAGTCAGATTCAAGGAATATACACAATGGCTCATAGGAGTTATTAAAAAGACCATTGCAGCGAAGAAAATTTTATTTTCGACGAAGTCATCATCTAGGCTGTACATTCGTGTATTTCTATCAAATGGATGGGAAAGTTCCAGAATAATTTCCGGTTAAGGGTCAAATTAATAAAAATTA